GGGTTTCCTAAACCCTAAACTTTAAACCCTTAACCCCAAAACGGGTTTCCTTTGCAGAGCGGGTTTTCGTTGGGCCTGGGTTGTTCATGCCGTGTTTTTTGGTGTATGCATATATCATGCTATGCAGGCATGCATACATGCATGCTGATTCTCACGATGCCACTCACAAGGGTATAACAGCATGCCACGCACATGTGTATATATGTATATATGCATACATATGTATATATATATATATATATCTCTATATTATATGGAATATATATATAACAATATATATATATATACATACATACATACATACATACATACATACATGAGATAGTACTCACAAAGGGCCATGTGCATGTGCGCGTAATACATAGCAATTACTGCATGTGTCGTTCAAGTTAATTCTACCACTTTAGCCTTGCCGTCTTCTGCTTTCCTGATGTCTTGACTCGGGGAATGTCCGTGTGCATGTGTGCGCATGTCTTCACTGGAGTCTCTACTGCCACTGTAGTATCTCAGTACTACTGACTTCGGAGAGATTTCACGACAATAGACAGCCACAACGATAATCACAATGCTGCCTTCCTGTCAATTTGGGAACACATATACAGATCTGAGTTGCCTGGTGTCGTAACATATGCTGTGTCAGGGATGCACATTATCTGTATTACACAGGTCAGGAACTAGTTCATCAGCTAAGCATAGTAAAACATAGAAACATGCATACATACATTACATACATAACATAACATACATTACACACATACCACATACATACATACATACATACATACATACATACATACTAATGCATTACACACATGTATAGAGAGAGAGAGAGATGTACGTAGATAGATAGATAGATAGATAGATAGATGATGGATAGATATACTGCAGATGTAAGTGTCATAGAAGCAAACTTCCAGGTGCAGAAAGGAGTTTCCGAGTACACCGATACAGTCACGTAGCAAATTGAGAGGATCTAGGACAGCTCACATCCATTCTGGGACATGGCCTAGAGCATGGCTTCATGGTCGACCGCCTTTCGGGGCATTTTCGGCTGGGAGCTCGGAGTTCAACTGGTTCCCAGTTAGGGCCATATTAAAAACGATCCCTTTTTTTATCCTTATTAGGGTTTTTTTATTGTAACAAAAATGTAAACTTGTATCCAACAAGGACCCAGTTCAGGGGTTTTTCGGAGGGTTTTGAAGTCCTAGGCCTCCCGAGGTCCCGAAAAGCCCTGAGATGCGAATCCCCAAGACCCCAGTTCACCTTGAACCGGTATCTCCAAAAAAAAGGCCCTGGAGTCTGGAGTCTAGGATTTCGAATCCCAAAACCGAAAAACCTCAACGTCGAAACCTTCAAACCTTCAAAACACCCAATAAACAAAAAAAACCTAAGGAAATCCACAATTCCCCGCCCTCTTGTGCCGCCGCGAGACCGAGCCGCTCCCATCGAAGTCCAGCCATTCCAAGAGCTCCTGAGAGCCGCTCCGAACATTCGAGGTCCTAGGGCTCTCCAGGCCTTTAGGGTGTGTAGGGGGTTTAGGGGCGTTTAGGGGTTTAGGTGGTTTAGGGGTGTAGGGGTTTAGGGGTCTTAGGGGTTTAGGTGGTTTAGGGGTTTAGGTTGTAGGGTGTAGGGTGTAGGGTTTAGGGCCCAATGAACACCATGGACGGTTCAGGCCCAGCCTTTGAGGATTGAGGACCCCAAGTCGGGCAGGGTTTAAGGGTTACGGCTCGAAGCACTGAGAGTTTAGGGTTTAGGGTTTAGGGGTTTAGGGGTTTAGGGGTTTAGGGTTTAGAGGGCTCCACTACCCCCACCCCGAATGTGAAGGCTCACTGACTAAGATTTGAAACAGCAGCCTGTACTCCAAGCCCGATGACAATTGCCAAGGCCATGTTCTGCAAGTGCGCCGGCCCACCCACCACCACGATTGCTACCGCTAATAATCGAAAGAATAACAATGTCAATAATGGCAGCAATTAATAAGAATGACAGTAACAACAACAATACTGGTACTAGTTACTAGTACACACCACTCCCACCTACAGCCACTACAACCCCAAACCGCAGGACCTGAACCCTCAGCCTGCCCGAGATCCCAAACTCTATCACATCCAGAACAGAAAATCAGTCCTAAGACACACTAACACCCTAAGCCCCTAGGTTCCTACATCAAGGAATGTAGCTTGGGACCTAAACCCGGAAGCCTAAACCCTAAACCCTGGAGGACCCCTAGGAGTTTGCTTCCTCAGGTGTTATGCCTAGTTGTTGATCTCTTAGGGTGTAAAGCTTGTTGCTTTGCTTCTGCGGCTTTTTAGGTTTGGGATTTTCGGGGTCGAGATAGCCCGAGCCCGCCTTGGCTGTGGTTTTGCTCCGGAGCGTGCTATCATCCATCGTGGCACCTTCGAAGGCATCTGCCGTGGATGCTTCGCTGCTTTGGAGGTTCAGGGCTTTGGGTGTATGGTTTGGAGATTTGGGTCTGGTACCTGATTTAGGGCTTAGGGCCCGGGCTTCGGATTTGCGATCCAATTAATAACCCCAAACCTGGAACCCTAATGACGACCTTGCTCACACAAGCAGCAAGAACCTTCGGGCTCGCAGCTTCTAGCAGATCATCTTGGATTCGGGCGAACAGTGCCGGTTCGCAGCTGCCTGCTGCCCTGCCAAATCTCCGGCAAGAACCAAAGCCACCGAACCCTGGCCCGAAGAGGAAACCCAAAGTCCTGAACTTCAGGTAAGCCCTGTGGGCCTTTCAACCTTTCAAACTGGGCCCCCGCGCTGACCCACTCGCTGTGGGTGACGCGCCCGTCTTCGCTTGCGTCGAGGGCGTGCCAGAGTACTGCAAGGAAAGTCCACGGCAGTCCAGGGTTGGGGCTTTAAAGTTGATCTAATCCGCAGGGGCTCAAAAGCTGAGGGTTTTGGGATGTGTATCCTGGGTAACACGAGGAGGAGGAAGAGTAGCAGGAGGAGGAGGAGGGTGAGGAAGCAGAGGTAGCACCTATCAAGAAGAATACTCGCAAGTAGCCACGCACCACCTTAGCAAGCCTTTGCTGCAAAACAAAAGTAGGTTTCGATAGTACACATGCTCGTGGCCGTGGCTTACGACGGAGATCGCAGCCCACTGTGAAGACGGAGTTGAAACATTGGCGTGCGGGCTTTGGGAAGATTCAGGGTCTGAAGACGCTTAGGGTTTCGGAGTTGGCGGATGTCTTGTATCCTGACATCCCCAAAGTTTTGCAAAACACAGTGACACCAGCACAGGCACAGGTTCGACACAAGCTTCAAACCTCCCTCAGGTGTCGAGGGGACAATTTCGAAAGTATGCAGTCAAATCGGATCAGGATGGTTTAGGGTGTAAGCTTTTGGCTCGACGGTGCGTTAGTGTCGTTCGGCAAGCTTTTCGGCGTCACGGTGCTGGAGCCTAGAGCCAGTGTTTGAAGGAGTGGAAGCTTAGTAGCCGGCTATTTAAAGTTAGCCGCACCAGGGTAAGTCGATGGACGGACGCTTCTCCCTGCAGACGAAGCCTCCCCAATCCTTCAAGCAATCAAAACTGCCAACCCCCCCCCCCCCAGAGTCTCAAACTCGAAAAGCCTTCAGCACTAATTCCTGAAGACCACGCCCGAGACCGTGGAACCAAAGCCCCTACTAGTGAGGTCTCGGGCAAGACAGGAGCCTGGGTTTAGGGTTCAGGTCCCTGTGAGTATGAAGACTCTTCCCGAACACTTCTCACAACATTGCTCACAAAGCTGCTGTATCATTTTAAAAAAACACGATTTACTCTCTTGGTTTAGACCTCTACTGTATGGTATTTGCATGGAGGGCCCGATGCACCCAATCGCGCAGGTGCCTTCAACTTGCTCCCCGTCTGCCTTCGGCTCGACACGAGTAGGTCCGATTTCGGGTTCGGGCAAAATGCGATCGTCTCATAAAAGGCTCCAGCTAAACCGCGAGGCTTAGTCCAAAACCCCAGACATCGAAAACCTCAAGGCGTAAAATCCGAAATCCTAAAACCCAAGCATGCTGACATCCCGAAACCCTGAACCGATGCGTCGCTTCAGCTCGAGATGTAATGAAAGCCCCTTAGTGACATTAAGGCTTTGGTGTAGTTTGCGGGAACACCAGGGGATTCTCAAACTAATACTTCAAGCTCTTTATGGTGGAGTCGGCTGCTTTGGAGGGTGTTGGACGGTGGAGCTCCAGCAGGTCAGCACTTCGAGGATTCGGCGAGGGTGCCTTTTAAAGGTGCTACAGGATTTAGGGCTTAGGGCTTTAGGATTCCAAGCGACCGTGCCGGCAACCAAGACAATCATACCATATAGCAGCAGAAGCACAAATGCCACAAGAAGTTTCAAAAAAACGCGTAAGATTGGTACATAAGAACGAACTTCGCATGAAAAATATGAGGAAAGCTTATTGTTGTTATCGCCTCTCTAGCACAAGCCACATTGCAGATGGCGACTGTGTGAAGAGGCAAATGAGGGGACGTGTATGTACTTCCTTCTTTTTCTGGCTCTCTTCCTTGCCCTCGCGGTATTCGACTCTCAGGCGTGACGCATTTCTTGCAGAACGTACTGAGCATGCAAGCCTGCCACGAGAGAAGCTGTTGACACACACACACACACAAGAGCATCGGATTCTCCATGCCGGGGTCTTGATTCTTGAAACTTTGGCAACCAAGGAAACGAACCACAACACACCTTCATCAACCAGGGGGTCGTGTTTGACAAAGAAGTCCCCTGTTTGCGATACTTGAATCATAAACCTACTTCTGATCGGCTTACTATGCCTTCTGAGCAGCCCTGAACTAGTTTGGTTTGGGCCTCCAGTCCACAGGCCGCCAATGCACCTGGGAGGCTCGAGACATTGAGAGAGACTGGTGCTCCAAACTGAGGGAACAGCGCTATGGCTGCTGGGCATTGTGAGGCACAGTGCGAAGCTCATGTCAAACAGCCGAAACCATGGAGCGCTAAACACCTCAATCCACCGCACTTTCGGGCACCCCGTGCCCCCACCTTCTTCGGCACTCCTAAAATAAAACCCAAGAGCCCAAAGCTTAAGCTTTCAAACCCCTGAGCCCGAAATCTCAACCCTACGGAATGGCAAGTAGTCTAAACCTTGACACCCTTGAACCCAACCCTCAGCCCACAGAACTTCCGGCCAAGGCACGCTGCACCTCCTCCTGGTTGAGGAAACCGCTTTTATCCGTGTCGGTGCTCCTGTCTTCCATGGCGGTAGCTTCCCCTAAGGCCCTAAACCCTTAAGCCAAAAACCCGTAAGCCCGGAACCCAAGGTTGAGGGCTCGGTAATTTACCCTCCCGAAAACTGACATGGATGCGGTTCAGTGGGGAGTTCTTTCAAGGGTGGCTTTTCTCTTTCTGGTGGGTTTCTCGTGTGGCTGAGAATGGAAATTCCAGAAGAAGACACGCTCGGTCACCAAGCGGCCACATCTCTGAAATTTTATTATATGAGGGCCATAACCAGGATCCTTACCCCCGAGACCCCGTGTGACTTTGCGAATGGTGCTCTCAGATGACCTGTTACTGTGATGGAGAGCACCAGAGGAAGTATCCGGGCTTCCATTCAGGTGAGCACCAAGCCGAAATCGCAAGAAGCCAAATAGAAAGCAAAAGCGAAAGTCAGCAAAGCTCGGGCAACCCTGGTGTTTGGGATTAGGTTTAGGACCTTGCACCCCAATTGTCCTCCCTTTTTTAGAAACCGTGCATCCGAAGTCTGGAAGCCCGAGGCGGCTGGCATGAAGAGCTTGGAGGTCTTGCGGCAGAAGTCGCTGCGCTGACACCTCCTGGGGAGCCCACGGTCTCTTCTAGAGCTCTGGATTCCTTGGCTTAGGGTTAGTTGAGGTCTTGTGCAACCGGTGGTACAGGCTGTTGCGCCGGTTCGGGGGTTCGGGGCTCAAGGCTGTGAAGGGTTGAGGGTCTACAGGTTTTGGAGCCCACGGTTGAGGGCGTCGGAGAAATGGCTTGGCAATTTCGGCTTTGAGGTTGGGAATATTGTGCTTGGTGGCCTCGAGGTTGAAAGAGAAGACTGTGCAGCGATGTCTGGCATGCGACCAGTTAGCTTCTAGTTTGCACCACACCATACCACGAAGCAGCCCTCGCACGCCCCACCCATCCCCACCATCCCTTGCTAAGCAGCTGGCGAGGCGTTCGACGCCATGAGAAGGACCACCTGAAGTGGCGAGCTAGAGCTGTGCAGTGCGTCGAACTCGCGATATTTGAGCGGTGATCGCTATGGTTACTGTATCAAGCTTAAAACTACTTCGACGAGGGCCGCCTGCCCCTGCGCATCCTTTCTACTTCCCCCTCCTTTTTGTTTCTTCCTCCTCTTCCTCCTCCTCCGCGCTGCTGCTACTGCTCCTATCGCTGCTGCGACAACCACGACGACGAGGACGATGACCATGACTATGATTAAGATTATGATGGTGAAGCAGATGACGATAAGACGCCTCAATCAAGGTGACCCCAACACTCTGAAATCTTGACCCCAAGAGCCCAACTTCTCACCTGGATAAACGTTTCTCGAAAGCTCTCCTCTCCAAACCTCACTCCTGGCACCCCAGCGCCCCAAGCAAGCCATGAAAGCAACAATCAGCAAGCAAAATTCCAAGAAACAACCACTCAACAACAAACACAAACACAGAGAGAGAGAGAGAGAGAGAGACAAAGAGCGCCAAAGAACAAGATCGGCGCCCTCCGAGAGCCTTGTCGAAGGGGGAGAGCTTCGCGAAGGCCGAGAGGCTTCGGCGGAGGCAGCTCCGGTCCTACAGCTCAAGGTTCCATGGGTTCTCACAAGGTTTTCATGGTGGCGTTTAGTCGGGTTGCTTCCGGCTTGAGAAGAGGGTTGGGTAGGGTTTACGGGGGGTTACATAGGGCTTTAGGGCTTCAAACGGTTGATGCCTCAGGAATTCAGTAATTCGGGTCTCCGGGGGCTCCGGGCTTCAGGTCCGGAGCTCCGGGGATTCGCACACGCAGTGTGATGAAACCCTTTGTCAATGACACTCCCCCTAACTATTTCAGCTACCAAACCTTTAAGTTACCCTTACCCGCCCCTCCAAAGGTTGGAACCCTAGCAATTCCATGCCGTGATCGACCAGACGATTGGCAACCCAGTGCGTTCAGGCATTTGGGATTAGGATGTAGGACACACAAAGACACAGGACTGGCGCTTCGAGAGTGAGACGTGTTGAGACCCTACACACGGAATCTCAAACCTCATAGAACCCGAAGAGAACCCGCGTAGCAACCTTATAGAACCATTCCATTCACCCACTTCCCCCTCAACACGTTCGGAACCCCGTTTGGAAGGCCTCTTACAGCGGGCCTTGCTACGTCAGAGCTCCGTGGCCTGTGTCGCTTCATGACTCGGGCCGCTCCACCAGCGGCACCATGCTTCCAGTCAACGGAGCTTCACCATCCACACTGTTGATGATATAAATCCTTAGCATTACCTTAAGGACCCTAAACTATGGGAATTATGGTATATTCCTTATTATGGGTCATGCAGGATTTATATCATCAACCGTACTTCATCTCGTCACCCTGCCCGCTTGCTGTAACGGTCCATGCGAAGCCCACATTGTTGAGTTGTAATTCTCATCCTTCCATTGTCTAGCCCTGATAGGTAGTCCTTCGAGGACCCCCCACACTAGCCAAAGACTAGCCCGTGCCTCCTGGACTTCACGAACAACTCTGAACCTAAACCAAAAGAGATCGAAAACCAAGCTTCCAACTGGGGCCCTACACAGTCAAAACCCATTCAAAACCCAACGGAAACCCCAAAAGCCCAGAAACCACTGAGCCCTACCTTCAAGCAATCCGAACTCAAGCCCTAGATCCCCCGAATAAACAAGCCCAACCCATATCTGGTAACAAACACCATGCCCAAAACCTAAGCCCTAAACCCTAAACCCAAAAAAAAAGCGAAGAACCTCTCAAAACTTAAAACCGAAACCCGCCTTGCGTGTCAGGCGATCTGGGGCTGCCTGCAAGGCTGGGCAAGCTACCTTAAAAGTACCCGAGGGGTCAAGAACTTGTTTACTGCACAAAAAAAGAAAGTCTCGTCGACTCCCAACGCAGCTAAACTCGAAACCGAAGAGCGTATGCTTTGCAGATTCCTGGACACAAGATCTCAAAGCAATGCAAAATCTTCAAGGCGTTCAACCCGGAAAGCCCTCAACATCACAATCCGAGCCAAAACCCTTCCACTGGCAGCGTCGGATGAAGACTGGGGTCTGGGGCTCGGATGCGGAGTTATGGGCTTAGCGCCGGCGATTTGGAGCTGCTGAGGCTGTTACTTCTAAGCTCCTCGTTTCAGAGAGCTGCCCTGTGCTTGTCACGCCCCGCCTCTTGCGCTCGGACGCTTGGCGGACTGCGGGGCGGAAGGAAAGGGAGACGAGGCCCAAGTCTCCAATCAACCTTCAACCCTTCGCCTGGTACGGTTTCAAGTCCTGGGAGCGGGGGTAAGGCCGCAGCCATCCTAAAGTCCTAAAGCCCCAACGGTTCCCTGTCTTATCGGGCGAAAGACCCGCAGCGCAAGGGGGCCTTGAGTTCAGGAAGCTTGAAGTCTGGACTCGGGACGAAACTTCGTTTGTCATGGCTATTGCTGCGTGTATTGACCCTGTTAGGATGGTGACCGTGACTGTGACTGCTAATTGGTCTTAGCAAACCAACAAATTCTCGACATGCTCCAGGGTCTCTTGCACCTAAACTCTGAAGTGCTGCACTCCTCTCTAGGGTGTGTGTTTGAACGTTTTCGGTTGGGGTACGCCCTCAACCCTAAAATACAAGCAGCGAAGCCCCAAAAAGGTGCTTTCGAAGAGCTTTCAAGTTTCATGTACAACGTATAAAAATCCGGGTAAGCAGGATTCGTAGTACTTGGACCCCTAAAATCCTAAAACCCCAAAACCCTAAAAACCTAAAAACCCAAAGACCCCGAATTGCCCCAAAACGAAACCACAGGGAGCGCTGGGCATCCCGGGCCGGAGCCACGAACTCTCCAGGGCTGCCTTTTAGGTGTCCTTAAGGATTACCGTAGGGTTTAGGGTTTAGGGTTTTAGGGTTTAGGCTTTTAGGGCTTAGGGCTTTAGGGTTTTAGGTAAGGATTACCTAAACCCCCAAAAGTAGGTAAAATAATGGCCCAAAACCCATAAAAGGCTGTGATTCTACATACTTTTGGGGTCCAGGTATAAGGAAATCAGAGCGTGCTAGGGATCTTGACAGAGACTTACCCTTCAGGGTTCAAGGATTCCGGGTGTTGGGCCACAGGGGTTTGGTGAGGGGGGGTTCAGGGGTTTAGGCTGCAGGGTTTAGAGCATGTGGTTTCAGAGTTGGTTGGGCGGCAGGGTTTTTGAGGTCCTGTAAAATCTTTCTGAAGAGTTCTTGACTGTGGCCTCTCCACGAAGGCTGTATAAGACATTGCTCTGCCCTGCAAACGAGTCGTATGAAAGATTGCACAGTGTTCTTTGACTGCTTTGTAGCCCTACTACAGCTAGTATACTGAGTATTGGTGTTCGAACTGGTAGTAGTATGCAGGCTATGGATGGTCATTCCCGTTGCTGTAGCTATTCGCAGACGTGTTCTCAGTTCTGCCGCCATTAGTGCGACATGTGTTGCCATTGCTCATCATCTGCCGGCACCAAACCCGAAACCGAAACCTCGTAAACCTAAACCACCACCGGCAACCCTCCGGCGGAGGCACCTTCTCCTCTTCTCCTTTCCGAGATACTAGAAACGCGATAACCTTGCTCAAATGCTGTGAAGCTCCTCGAAACATGCATCGAAACCACGAAAGCTCTAAAGGACACTTAGACTCACACACTCGCCAACTCCACCATGACCTGCAATGTCACTTGCGGAAGCCCTTAAGCACACCAAACATGAAAGGCTCTCCGCCCAATGCCTGTGCACTGGGTCGCTCTGTCACATCCCGGCGTAGCAGTCTTTGTGCCTTGCTCGAGATTTGGTCGCAAAGCTTTACAGGTTTGCGTCCAGTGCCGAGTTGTTCAGTTGTTTTTGCGTGGCTTTTGGAGTTGAACGGGACGCAGTAAACCCTAAGTCGTAGACCCGAGACCCTAAGCCCTTCAACCCTGAACCCCAAACGCCTAAACCCCCCCGCCCCCCCTACACCCGTCACCCCAAACCCGTAGGCCCTAAACCCGAAGACTCAAAAGAACTCTTTTCGGGTCCCGGTCTCTCTCCTTGGGCCCCCAGGCCAGCCGGAATGCCTTGTTGCCGCCCAGCTCCTGGGACATCGCGTCCTGCGCTTGGAGCTTACGGGGGTTCAGGGTACCGGCTTTGAGGTGTTTTCTGGGCCGGGGCGATGGTTTGGCGTTCAGGGTCTGGGGCTTCAAAGGTCAAATCCAGAGGGTCTTGGGCCGGAGTCTAGGGCTCTCGAGTTAAAAAGATGCTCAGTTACCAGGTTTTCTTCCGGCTTGTCTCTAGCTGAGTCTTTGGTGTGGACAAACAAGTATGTGCTAAGGTACTACTTGTTTAAACTCCGCGCTTTGCGTCAGAGACAAAGGCGGGGGCCCAAATCCCACCAGAGCCGTCCCGAATTACAAGAGTTGGCATGTTGAAGCCTCTGAAACTAGCGGTCAAGTAACTAAGGAACGACATGAACAATCCCAAAGGCCTACCCCTAGCTACAGCTCGAAAGCCTGAAGCCTCAGCAGTCACATCTGAGAGCCTCCCCCCGTGCAACACCGAACCCCAAGCCCCCAACCCTAAACAAATCGAAAGAATTGAACCCTGAACCCTAACACCCCACAGAGCTTTCTGGAACCCTGACGAGAACCCTTAAAATTAAACCCCCGCACACCCGGGAACTCGACCCTGAAACCCTTAAAACAGCCTCGGCACCCTCAAAACAGAAAGACCTCAAACTCAAGAGGCAAACTCTCTAAGATAGAGAGGCTTGAGCAGTTAGAACAATGTTGTGGGATACATTATGGTAGAGTCATATTCGTAAGGATTCGAAACAACTAATCATTCCAACGCCCAGGCTACTTAGACTGCAGGGTCCAGGTACAGCTCCAGCTTCTCGTAGCGCTCAGACCTCTGGGACGTCAGGGTTCCAAAGCTCGTGTGAGAGCTTCGTGCACAGGGCTTCTGCAAAGGCTTCTTGTCCCGGTTCATGCATGGAAATCAGCGCACCAAGGCACGATGTCGATGTCATGAAGCTGGGGATCGCACGGGCTCGCGGTCTGGGCAGGGTCGTTGTCGGAACCCTGCCGCTTTTGGGGTTTCGGAGAGTTTTGGCCGCGAAAGCCCCATAAAATAAAGACTGTCGGGCCCAAAAACTCAGTTTACATTAGAGCATTAAGGGCCTTGATGTACGGAGGAAGGGATTAACTGGGCTGTGCATGAACGCATATGATACTACAGTTCCCTTTTGGGCCTGGCTCAGTTCAAAGGCCTTGGGCTACAACTCACAATTGCACAGGGGATGTAGACTGATGCAAGGACATCTCACATCCGTGCCGATCCCCAAGTTTGGGCGAAGAACGAGATACTCAGGGGGACATCTCCGTGCAGCCGTTTGGGTCAGGGGTCCTTTGAGGATGAAGGCTTTCAGGGACGAAGCTCTCGAGCCTTGACCTGCATCAAGACCATGATGCCAAAGGACCTCTGGGAAGGCTTCGCTTTGGGTTCAGGTCGGTTCGATGCCTATGGCCTTTGGCTGCTGGAGGCTTCGGGGGGCCCGGTTTACGGCTTCAGTGGCTGCGGTTGTAGGGCTGGCTCACTTCCCACGACCCGAACCTTACGCGCCCCCGACACCTCCAGCCCACACCTCGCATCATAGGCTTTGGTCCCCAAGGAGCTACCGACAAGGCCTGGTCAGCTCATATCCTATCATATAGTATAATAAAATATAACATACTATACTTTAAGACTATAATATAATATAATATAATA